TTGTATGAAATTAAACTAACTGATAAAAAATTAAGCTTATTTGATAATTTTGAATACCATTGTGCAGGTACAAAGAACAATGTGAGTGCAAAACATTCGGAAATTGACCTATATTACCCCCTTCCGAACACCAGGTCATTCATAACAACAAGAGAGTCTAGAAAGGTTATTCAAATGGGCGTAACTACTCGTAATGTCTTATCATGTATGAGAGGGGGTTATTCATGTGTTTGTAACACTTCACAAATAGCAAGCTATGGAAGATAGAGCGTTATTTTTATCATCGGTTAACACACTCCCACAGTATTCATGGCGAAAACACACGTTTCCCGGCGCGCGCGCTCTGTACACCAACAGTACACACTGAGTGACCCCGGTGGCCTGCCCGGAACGTCCTGCGCGCTTATATGACCGTACGCAGTTGCGAGCGCCGTAAAACCCTAAACTACTAAGTTACCCGGAACGTCCGACGCAATAGGTTGCTGATAAGATTCGCATCTCAGCACAGACGCAGGACAAGAGTTAAGTAAGCTTTCTAAACTGAAGTTTGAAACGTCGCATTCGGTTTATTTTTAAAATACTGATCCATGTAGGTCTAGAAAGTGGAGTCATACATAACCACAGCAAGGGATAAAAAAGAGATCAGAATAATGAAAAAGTAATCCTGGGATTCTTAAAAATAATGAAGTCAAGGCTGTGTCATAAATCACACTATCCCCTAGAAGAAATGCTGTGAATCGAACAATAGCGTTCTACTTCTATGGCCTCCTTTGTCGAGACGATAAACACGCACCAGCTGATGTGGCCTAAAATGATATACATTTGCAGGGATGCACCAATTGGGCAATTAATCTTGATTTATGAAAGTGTAATAAGATTGATGAGATGGGATAATAATTCTTGTCAGTGGAGTATCTGGTTCATTATGGCAATACCAAGTCTCTTTTATGTTTAGAAAGACTGTGCAACATTTCAGACAAAAGGCAAATGTAAATGTTCTTTTAAAAGTCATAAATTGACTTCCTACTCATAGCCCCGTGCACCTATCCAAATACGAGTTCTGTCCCAGAGGTAAATTTCCATGCTCAGTAAAATCAACAATAACTTTTACTTTAGCCAACTTTAAATGTTGTAATTTCCACAGAAACGTGCTATGTGGTTTCTGTCCAGTGTAAGGACCGCTCATCTCTAAGCACTGTTTCGTCTGATGCAGCTAACGGTCAAATGCAATGACCATATCCACTTCGCCCAGAGTACTAAGTGCAACGTTTGTTTTGGGCACGATTTCTTGCTCGTCTTCAAATCACTGCACCCTTATATTTTAGGATTTTAAGGAAGAAATGAACATCGCATGTAAAATAAGGGGCAGACTTTTTTTTAGATATACCATAACAGGTCACAAACAGCAAGGGTGTATTTGTGAAATTCAGAATTGAAAAGACAATCAACAAAATGGAGAGACTCAGGATCATCACTTACTGTAAACTCCTTGGCTCACCGCTCGAAAGATAATATATCTCCTGCAGTCCTGGCAGTGGGAAATCCTTGAACATCCCCGCTATTCCTCAGTCTTAGTAACATGCAACCGTCATTTCTTCCCCAGAATCAAAGGAGGACTAATGGGTTAGCGATTTGAAGACCAAGAAGAAATTGTGCTCGAAACAAAGCAGTTGAGAAGTACTAAGATTTAGTATTGGGTCCTCATACCCATCCCAGCGCGTCCCCAATTATATATTCAAGAGGAAAAACCCATGAAAGAGGAGTCGGAATTTTATTTGACGAAGCAACAGCAAAGAGCATCAAATGTTTTTGGGGAGTGTCAGATAAAGTCATCGTGGCTAAATTAGACGGAAAGCCTTTTGACATAGGTGTCATCCAAATATACGCACCAACATCAGAGCACGACAACGAGGAAATTGAGACTTTTTATGAAGACCTTGATAAGGCAAAGAAACAGTTAAAATCACAAGATCTAAAGATAGTCATGGGAGACTTTAATGCCAAAGTAGGAAGTACACGTATAGAAGATATAGTTGGGCCATGGGGACTGGGTAGAGAGAATGAACGCGGGGAACGACTGGTAGAATGGTGTAGAGAAAATAACTTTATGATATCAAACACCTGGTATGAAAATCACCCAAGAAGAAGATACACTTGGAAGAGTCCTGGCGATAGAAGTAGAAATCAAATAGACTTCATACTTTTTCAGAAACGTTTTAGAAACACAATAAAATCATCTAAATCAATGCCAGGAGCAGACTGTGATAGTGATCATGTACCAGTCGTGTGTAAAATCCGGATACGACTAAAGAAACTCAAAAAGTCAAAGTATGAACATAAATTTGACATAGGTCTTTTAAAGACAAATCAGGAAATGAAAGAACGTTTCTCCATAGATGTAAGAAATAAATTTCAAGCTTTGGAAAACATTACTTAATCGGAAGAACTATGGAGGAAAATGAAAGACTCAATAATGGAAGTTCTGGAAGAAAATGTCCCC